GAAACTCAAAGGTAAATTGAAAGAAAAAAATGGTTAAACTTTCCGTTTTGTTTAATTTCAGATGAAGTCATGTAAAATTAACAACTACTTGGCAAGTTTTATTCGTCGGTGCTTTTTCAATCTAACTACGCGATTTTTTTGTAATTAGTGCTCATTCAGAGGCTGCGAGCTTCTTTGACGAACCACGTTGTCACATCTCTTAAAAGTTCCGCATTTTTCACGGCAGCCATCGATACGGATACATAAATTGGTTCGCACTGCACAATTTCGAGATCTGTCAAGTCAGATTTCGTGGGAAGGTTGCAACTACACGGAAAAAAGCTCTGTCAGACATACTTGAAGTAACATGTATTTTAGTTAGCATAACTGGAGTATCGATCCAGAATCTTTGGTTGTAGGAGGTGAACAGCGAACACATCTGTTTTTGGTTACCGAATGATTCAATGGATCATTCGATAGAGTATATTTAAACACAGAGAACGTAAACTCCTGGCCTCACTATTTGTAATAATTTTAACATTTATACTTACACCGATTTTCTTGATATGAAGCTTCCGCCATTTCTTAGCCCCACGCTGTTCCATACTTATTATCCTGAAATGGTCGTGCCCAAAATAGGATCCTAAGACCCAGATACCCATAATACTCTCTTTACAATCGCATTATAGGTTATGAGCTAGGTATAAAGATGGTTCAGTCGCACAGGCCAAATCTTTTATCCATGCGAACGATAATTTCGAAAAATGAAATATTCGTTTATGTCTCTCATTAACCACGACGCTGTGAGTAAATGTATGATCCAAAATCTACTCTCTTATATTTTTTTTTTTACTTTTATGTCAATATTATATCGCTCAACATTGCTTTTACTGTTGAGACAGCAAAGTTGTTTTGGTCGTTTAAGTTGCATATCCACCATCGAGTGCAGCCTCAAGAAACATTCTCTCCATTAAAGCTGCAGATGGAGCATGATTTCAAAATCTGAATTATCCTTTTTCTTTGTGGTATACATAGTGTTGATTGACGAAGGAGCAATGTAGTAATAAATTTTACCTTTAGGCTGCACGGAGAAAAAAAACTTCGTGCGTGGGACCCGAAGTTTAGGTCATATGGATCTCTGAAGTTTTCGGATTGAGCATCTGAACACTGTAGGTCCAGCTGCTGAGGTTTGGATCACACATCTGAAACTTCAATTCTTACATCTGAAGTATTTCGGTTCTCACATCCGAAAAACTTTGGTTCTCACATCTGAAGTACTTAAGATGTTATAAGAACTGGAGTATAGATGTGTGATCCGAACCTCGACAGCTAGACCTAAAGTGTTCAGATGCTCAATCCGAAAACTTCAGAGATCCATATGACCTAAACTTCGAGTCCCACGCACGAGGTTTTTTTCTCCGTGTGGAGTGGAGTGCGGATCACGGTGCGACAGAGCCCCAAATAATACAGGAGTCTTTTTGCTCTAGTTTCTTCATCATCAACTCAAAATATTCCGATTTTATTGGCGGCAATATTATCAGGTTAAAGAAATTGTGTAATATTTCTCTATACATTGATTGTTCTGTCAAACCCACAAAATTACCTGGCGGAGCATGACCTAAAAACTCTGGGGGAAAAAAAGTAAAAAAAAGCAAACATTTCGATTGATAATCAACGCTCTCGATTATTCTGAAGATTTACAAGAAATCCAGGACTTTATTCCGGAAAATATCAAATGTTCCAAATTCGAATGTTTAGGATTTTTGACATCGTATTAGTCCTGTCCGGCAACGTTTTGCGACCGCGAGCCCAGTCACTTGTGAGAAATAGTAGAAATTCGAGCTCATATAAGATCCTCCCATTTCTCACATTTTAACAAGGCCCTTCGCGTTCTATATATCCTTAAGTTGCACTGCACGTAAGTACCTTTAGTGGCCAGTTTCATTAGAATCGGAAAAAGTATCTTGATATATTTATCTATTCACTAGCGCTCACATGATGAAAGTGAATCACTTTATCATTCTCATCGATGCGTGATGCCTGGGTCTGAGCGGTTCCAGGACTTTATGTCCACTAAATTCATAAGTCCACCGCCTTTATGTCCATTTTGAATGTCCAAAAAATTTATGTCCGCCACATTTATGGCCACAGTATTATATGTCCACAGTATGTATATAAAATATTTCCTACACAATGAAGAAAATATGATGTAATGGATTAGGTTTGTGGGTCTCAAAAAATTTTCCAACTTACATTGCTAGGTGAAAACCACATGTATGCGGAGATTTCAGATCAGCGGAGATCTCAGATCAGCGGAGATCATCTTCGTCCTCGACAATTTCATGGGGATTTACTTTGATACGGTGGGCTAAACCTCGAAGATATGTGCGAATTTGATTATTATTTTTGTATGTCTCGTAGGTCCTAACCATCTCTTCTATTCTTCTCAAATTGGTTACGTATTTTTTTTTGATCGGATGTTTAATTCTTGAATGCCATGCAAGCAGTTGTGTTATGAGGCCAGAATTATTTGACTCGTCCTTCCGCAAGACGTCCATGAATTTCTAGATGTTTGGGTGATGAGTGGCGACTTTTTTCTGAAAAGCAGAATGCCACCCTTCAACAGAATTGGTGGTTCGCATTACTACGGCTCTAACAGTCTCAAATACATTCCAAAGTTCTGGAGGAAAGCGAGGTGGCACCATCCTTCTCCTCATTGCAACGCCTCGCAAATAATTTCTATCGAAGTAATCAAGAAAATCATCCAGCTCGTCTCCTTCATTTTTACGCCAATTTTACGCCGGAAATATAGATACTTCTTGAGCAATACTTTCCCTCCTATATAGTCCTTCATTTTCTATGGCAACGCATATCAGCTGAATTGACTATTAACATTAACCTTCAAAAGCGTTACCGAGCTTCTGCTATGCAATAGGTCCTTTCGAACACACATTCGCTTATATTGGGCTTACCGCGGTATGTAAATACTGTGGACATAAAATACTGTGGCCGTAAATGTGGTGGACATTCAAAATGGACATAAAAGCGGTGGACATACGAATTAGTGGACGTATAGTCCGTGAACCGTCTGAGCACCTCGTAGAGGCAGTCTTTTTGATGTAAAGCGCATCTCGCCTTCAATTAGAGACGATACCACCGGCGAACAAGTGGAAGTACGAATAAAGATATCAGTGTTATCAATGCTTGATACCTGTGTCCTGTGTCGGACCGCCTCGCACAGGTCAAGTCACTGTGAAGTAAAGCGCATCCCGCCTTCAATTAGAGACGATACCACCGGCGAACACGTGGAAACGCAAATAGTGGTATTAGTTTCATGAGTTAGATTCTGGGCAGTGTTAACCATCTGCTCAACTACTCGCCATATGTCGTCTGGCCTCCCGACGTATTTTATTTTTATTACAGCAAACTACACTGGAAAAAAAAAAAAAAACACACATTGGATCTAGAGTCCAGACTCTACCTATATAGCTTAGCCGTCCGAATTGATTTCAGTGCTGCAACACAAGACATATGAGAATTAATACTTTATCTTAGGATACCTAATTTCTTTTATTATTATTATTATTAATAATATAATATAATTAAATAACAATATAAAAATAATAATATAAATATAATAATTAATATAATATAAATATAATACATATAAATATAATATAAATAATAATATAACTTATATAATCTAATTATATTATTATTATTATTTTTTTTTGTACCTCGGAAGAGGGAACACTTATTATTATTATTATTATTTAAATCATTTTTTTGTCATTTCGTAAATTAAATTCTACATCATAAAGGATTTCGCCCTAAGNGGGGGGGGGGGGGGGAGCCGCCACAGCGACGCCCAATCAAGAATAGAAATGTTATAGATAATTACCCTGGCTCCACGTGTTTCATTATCATCCTCATTACTCATTAGTGTATGCTTGTCACGTTTGTTGTCCGGGCATATCTCCAATCTGAACGCTTTCGTGTCGCGGTCAATCATACCGAAGATCCAAGATCCTTCTACGATTCTGCCGCGGTGGAATTTCCTTCTCCCCAACTTCATCTCGTCTACTTCCACTAGGTGGCCGTCGCCGCCGATGAGTCCTTCGTCTTCATAGTCAGCATCTAAAGCAATGACGCACATTTCGCGGCAATACGCGTACCAGTTCGCGATAGTTTCCGAACTGACTGTGCATGGTGTCCTCGTCCGATGAATTACACTCATTCATCACCTGTTCGTATGTAAACCGATGCGCGAATCCGTATGTGATTATGAGAATTTCTTTAACTGGGCAATGTGCCCCGACAAACCACGTATTTTCGGATTGGGAGATTTTTACGACTTTGTTGTTTGGGTGTAATTTAGTTTTCTGACGACGGAATTCTCCGATAATTGGTTTCCTACTGTAACTTAATTTCATAGGATTATTTCAAAGAGGGCAATTTTTATTGGGGGGCAGAAGGTTGTGTGTACATAAAAATTCGCGGAGTTTCACCGGGTTCTCGAATTCCTTCGCTAATTTAATTAAGCTCATTCGTGGACTCATTATGCACGCGTGTTGAACTTCTATTGAGAATACCTCCTTGAACTTACCCGAAACGGAAATGCTAAATGTTGATGAGTTTCCGGTTGATGTGTTTCCGGTTAATATGTTTCCGGTTAATATGTTTCCGGTTGATGAGTGTTTATACTGACGCAAGCGTCAGCGCTAGCGTCGGTGGTGAGTTGCAGCCCAGATTCCGAAGTGCCATGGCTCTTTGAGAGTGGGCCTGCGTTGCATTTATGGAGCAGCCCAAGTACCGAAGTTTCTCCGTAGTAATAATTATAGTAACGTTTCATAGACGTTTCCCCCTATTTCATGTTCTCGGACGAGCGAGACGAAACTGGGGAATTGAACTTGCTCCCCTTTCCCGCCTAAAAAATATGGCGGATAAATCGGCCAATCAAAAAGCACGGGAGAGAAGAACTTCCTGCACTATCTGTAGTTTCTGTTCGCTTTGCGCTTTCGTCAATTTTGGAGCATCAGGTGAAGTGAAAGTAGAACTTTGAACTTTTTTCACCTCATCGCCTCAAAGATGTGTGAATCTACTGTGTTTCGGAAAGAATTGTTTTGATATCTTTTTCAATTAGGATGGAAGATCTACTGCAGCAGTTAATTGCCGAAGCTGCCGGCCCTAAATTTTCGGAGGTTAGAATAGCAAGCCAGGAAGCATATGGTGAGTCAGAGAAGATTCTAACTATTAAAATGTACTTTAGTATCACCCTTAATGAGCACACTCAATTTCAATATGCTGCACCCTTTACCCGATGCGCTGCCATTCCGCTCTATTTTTCTGGAAGACAGTCCTATGGAAGACCCCGTTTTTGCCGCATGGCTTGCCGATTGCACCAACCAGTGCTGCGTTGTGTTGAACCCTTTTTATTGTATGCTGCCTACCATCTGCCTTTTTATTGGAATTTTCCCTCCTTCAATGTGGTATTAGGGTTGCTGAGTATGAACTGAACAAGTCTGTAGGATTGTCAAGTTTTGAGAGAAAGTGTGAAAATCTCTTTGAACTCCGTTCTGTATACAGCTGTTTAGGGATCTATTGATTTAACCCATCGGAGTACAGGTATATTCCATGTAGTTCTAAGACTACTAAACACCATTTACATACCTAGACTTCACACAGGTATGCTAATGTTCACACTGGTTAACTTCAACCACCCTTATCAACCAGCTGTTATCTTATCAAAAACAGCTCCATTGGAAATCTCAATTTGTTCTATCTTCTGGGCGCAACATTTGAATGGATTTCAGCTGCAATGGTTATGTTTCTTTCACTTTTTAGATTTCCTGGAATCTCAGCAAGGGCTAATGAGAGATCCAGCACACGAACTGAGAGCAAAATGCCTGTGTGCGCTCCAGCTTGCTGTCGAAACGAAGAAAAGCAAGTTGGTCTCTCTTGCATTAATAGGCTTCCACGTAAGTGAATTAGATTTCTTATCTTACATTGTATACAATTCTTATCTCTTATGGACCAGTGTTACAGGAACTGCCCAATCATGTTAAAATAATAGAGAACCTGTGGAAAAGCGCGAAGTAGCATCACCCTACAATTAATGCTCCACATTATCTCAGAATATGTGATTTTTGTAGTAATGGCAGGTGCTTAGATATGACGTGCTCTGCTAAACCAATCATACCTGGCTAAAAACCTTGGTGCTGGTTTTATCCAATAAATTTTGCACTGCTTTTTTAAGTAGTGCAAGTTTTTTCTGTGGCGGTCAATAATCAGGGTAGTGATTACTTTCAGGTACAAGTTATCTGCAGGTGCCTACAGCATATCAAAGGTGAAACTACCAGACCACGTATCTTGGTGTGCAACGTGCTGACATCCTGTCACTGTTCATTTTGTAAATGGAAAACTACTCAACATAGTTTCTTCGAAACCTTAGTGGGAAGAAAACTTCGAGGAATGAGCTTCATTTATCTCTACCAATAAAACAAAATGGGAGTGGAAATTTTTGAAGACCATTAAAGAGATAGGTGGTCTGGTAGTTACACATTATTATCACAGTCTTATCTCATCATAGGAGGGCTGGAGTCCAAACCTAATATCACCAGTTCTCTTGGTTCGAAACGCACAGTCCGTCTTTACATCGTTCCTGAGTTAAAATTGTAACAAAAGCTTTGAACCATACATACTGTTCTTATTTGTCCAATGGACCACTAGACAAGGTATGTATTTAAGCATTCTCGTGCATGTTTCTTATACAGAATTCCACGTAGAACACGATTCACGCGACGAAAATTACTGAAATTAACTCTTCACGAAGATATAAACGCTTTTATTTCACATTGGTTACGAAGAATTTGAACTGCCCGCTCACGTGAAACTCAAAGCTCTACGTGAGTCAAATCAAGCACTACAACGGTTTCAGCAAGCTTCTCAAACGAGCAATGTTCATTTCCCACTGTGTGTTGTTCATACTATAAGCAATTTGCTGTAGCTGAGCTAAAGCGTCAAGATTGAAGTTGTCAGATTTTTATATAGCAGAGACTGTCATGATAACGTTTAGCGCGCGTTATGAGTCACGTAGAGCATTGAGTTTTCATGAGCGGGTGGTTTAAATTCAGGCATCAAGAATAATTAATTATCTTCGTAAGGAGTTGACTTCAGTAATTTTCGCTGTGTGCACTGTGTTTTACGTGAAATTTTGATTCAGAAACATGTATCAGAATGCGGCAATTCGTACTTTGTCTACCGGTCCATTCTGCTGGCTGAACTATAATTTAAGTTACATCAAGTTAGGTAGACAAGAATAAATGAAGTACTCCAAAGAAGCTGGTTACTCTCTGATTAGCACTGCCCATTTCCTCTATGTGCGTTTAAAAGGAATGCTTTCCGCTTAGAGAAGCTCCTCCTGTGTCTGTCTTAACTTATCATAGCCACAAAATCACTTATTTCAATCATGTTTTCATTTTTTACAGAATCTAACATTTTAATGACATTAAGCGAAGCATAAGACTATCTTCGTAGCTAGTGGCTTTATAAAATTTTGTTCTATTTTGAGTGTTTTTAATTTATATTTCCTTCCCAGAAACTTTTGAGGGATGACCGCTTTCAGTCAAATTTTGAGCCAGAAGATGATTCATTGTGGCTTCCATCACAACTGCTGTGCGCCATGAACTCTCTTTTAAGCCAATCTGATGATACACAAGTTGACATGCTGAAAGTAAGTTTAGTCGTTTGATTTATTTATTTTTTATTAATATTACTTCATTTTTTTTTTGTTCCAAGAAATCAAGTTATGCACCGAGTAAAAGGTCTCACAGATGCCTGACATTTCTTTTTGAAACTGATACAGATCCCTGATATTAGGGTCATTCCACAAGAAAAGGTATCTTTTTTCACGGAAGAAGGTATTCTTCATCCCTTATGTCAGCTAATAAATCGGTTTCAAAACATGTACAATTATAAATTTTTATTACTTCTTTCTAAAGCGACCATCGATTTTCCAGGTTTTATTGAACATGGCGTGTCTCCCATATTGGACCATGAATGGACGGCTTATCATACAGATATTGACACTTTGCTCTGAAGCGTATGAGTCAGGAAATAACGCCATTCGAACTGCTGCTCAAGCTGCAACTAGTCAAACATTGAGGTCTTTCTGCAACATTCTTGGTACGCTTTTACAATACATGTCCAGAGGCTTTTGTGTGTCGGAGAAAATACCCGTTAATTAACAATGTAGATTAATCCTTTGTCCGAAGTCAGTCGTCCCTTAGCATACCAGGAGAAACCTCAATTGATTTCATAGTTATTTTAAAATCAATGACGTTACTTCAAAACCTAGGTACCAAAGGTACAAATAACTTTAAGAAGTAGACTGTTTCTCAGGATTTAATGTTTTTGCCTTATGACTTTTTTCAATTTGCTTTTTGTAAAATGTGTTTGATTTCGTGTGAAAGTGACCTAGTGCATGGAACGTTCAAAGTGTTTCTCATGCTGAAAGTGAGTAAAAATTGATTATGGTCCAAGTTTTGCCTTCTGCTTGCAAAGATCCATGGACTGCAAGATTGAGAATTTTTCTCACCCCCGCTCGACATCGTGCAAACTTATCTATGTCAGCTGGGTAAAAAGAGGGAAATTAGAGGGCATTAGTTTAAAAAATACAACTTTTTGTTGCACTAGCATTACCAGAAATTTTGGATTTTTGTTAAGTATCGTGATGAACCAGAGAAAATTTCTCGTGAATTCACTTCAAGAGATGAGTATGAGGTATCTTAAAAAATCTCTGATATTTTTCATTTCCGCACATACCTTCTTTAAGCTATTATTTTTGTAATGTTTTGTAATTCTTATGCCTTTCAGATGAAGAATGTCAAGAATCCGAAAGTTTAAAAGACATCAGTCCTAGTGGAATTTTATGCTTTAATCAAATTATACCAATTTTGCAGTTCATCTGTAGCAAGATTGAGGAAACTCAAATGTAAGCTCTTTAAAGTTAATCAATTTTTTTTATCTACCATTTTTGCATTAAAAACTCAAGTGTGCACAAATAATGTGCTGCTTAAAGGAACAAGTGCACACCTTGAATCTACCAGGGATCCTCTATTTACCATTTTTGTTCTATGATAAGAAGTTAAAAATTTGAAACTGCAGTGTTCATCAGACTTCACAGTCTGTTAGAAAGAAAATAACACCTGAACTAAGCTACTGATCTATTGAAACATTTTTACTGAACGAAGGGTTCCATTTTTAACGATTAGCTGACTCAGAATTATATGTCAAGATCTGCCTCTGGTGTTGAGGATCATCATTTTTCCACGGACTGTGACACATTCAAAACTTTTTTAATGAGAAAACTCAAAAGCCTCATGCCAATAAGAATGGTTTCTCTTTACTCCTTTTGCAGAGAACGAGGTGAACGAAGTGGCCAAACCGTTGTTTTTTTGCTAGAATGCATGCACACGCTGGTATCAAGTCTGCCTCAAAAAATCTATTCGAACAAACACTTCACCACATTCTTGTGGCAGAAACTGTGCCCAGCATTGATAGCATTTCTAGGATCTCCAAGAGTAGATAAGAAAATAATATCTCGAGAGGGAAAATCAGGAAATTCAGAAGGAGAAATAGGCCGAGGATCTGGAGGTCTTGCTTCAGCGCCAAGTTTTGACAGTCATCAAGCAAAAACAGTTTACAGGTTGGTCTAAATGAAACAATTTAGGATCATAATATTTCTTCAAGTACTTTGTAAGTTACCATGCTCAATGCTTTTTTTCAAGAAGGAGGTTCCTCCAAGGGTTGACTTGTTTTCAATCAACCGTAAGTAAAACTTTCCGAGAAGCACGATGTTACCTCTGACTTTTTCCTAGAATCCACTTTGAAGCTCAAGGAAGGCTCTTGACTTTAAGGTTTTACTTGTATCGATTAACTTATCTTGCTTTAATGTCCAGCTTTATCGTACTCTCAAAGGTACACACCCATGAACATCCAGTTAATAGCATCCAATGATCGCTTTACTTTCTATTCTCCATTTATGTAGTCTTAAATTGGGTCAGGAGCTTGCATTACAATAGTATGCTCTGTTGATCGATAATTGATGATTGTCAAATATAATTACATTGGTACAATTGGATGCAAATGACATCATCCAATTCTGTGGTTCATACCATGATTTCTTTCACCTTGGTCTGATCAAGTGATGCAAATTCACATTATTTCCAGTTGCATTTTTTGCGTCAAGTAGTGAAGATCCAGATGGCAGACACAATTGAAAACAGAAGCGCAAAACTTTTGCAATATGTATTCCAAAGGGTGCAAGATAGCATCTTCGTTTTGCATACTAGGATTATGACATCTAGACCAGCATTATCATGTTTTTTTTTATCTTTCAGTATCAACTAACAAAAATAAATTCCTTGACCAATCTCTTTCAATTAATGCCAATACTTTTGCCACTTTAGTTTCTCTTTATTACATCTTATTTTTCTCCTCCAACAGTATTGGGAGTGAACTTGTCAGATTGGTAGGTTGTGTTGGATCTCTGAGGCCTGTACTGGAATCAGTCTTTCATCGGATGCTCATTTATCCGCCTCCTCAACATCGGTTAGAGGCCTTACGAGCACTGAGAGAGGTAATTGGTTTTTTCCTTCCCTCCTTCAATCTATGTCTTCTTTTTCATTTAAGCAGTCATGAACAAAATTCTTCGCTTTCAGAATTTTAAGATTTGGATCACACAGTAGCCTTTTCTGCATCCTCAAAGTTGATTTTAATATCTTGCGCCTAATCTTTTCCTACTGCAGCAAGAGTAGAACTTAGTGCACCAAAGAAGAACAGGAAGTAAGATAGGAAAAAAAATAGGAGAAATATCAAAAAGCTAAAAAGGCAACAAATTAAGAGCTATCATAATGTTGTTTTACAACAGAGATACCTGCTAATAAGCAGTTATTATTCTTTTAAAATACTTCTGTGAGGAAATCTTCCAATTTTTGTTAGGACCTCCTTTTTGATCATACATTCGAAAATAGTGAAACAGGTTCATTCGAAATTGCTTCGAAGATGGATCACTGTAATTTTAAGCATGAATGACGGAACCATGAAAATAAAATGTAAAAACGTTCGTTTAGCAAATGATCAAAAAATTGGTGTTGTGTCCTACCTAAGCCTTTGAAAGGTAACCCGGGGCGATTTGAAAATCTTTGATAGAGATATTTGATGCACGGCTTTTTGATTAAATTAAATTCCAAATTTATGGCTTAATCATATTGGAATTTCAACTTTTTCTTTCTGAAATAAGTAGTTGATGAACATTGGGATCATCAAATAAATTGTAAGTAATCCTTTGAATAAAAAGTAATTTACTGTGCGATTCATTTCCAAAATATTGTGCTGTAAGAAGTAGAATAGCAAGTTGCATAACACATGCACTTTCAAGATAGAAGAAATCCAATTATATTGTAAGAATTTAAGTAAAATGATTACCAAGAATGAATTTTTTGCAATTCTCATCTTATGTTTCTCTAACTTTCCATTTTTTTCAGCTTCTGGGTAGTCCTAGTCGTTTGCTTGATTTTGCTGGACCATTGCTGTTGGAGGATGAAAAAGGCTGTCCACAAAGTGATATGGCATTGACGCGTTTGTAAGTTACTTTCCTTCAAGTATTTAACTAAAAAAGTCTGTGACAACTATTATCAGTCATTTATGCAAAGTATCAAGCTTTCTCAAAGAGTTAATGTATTTTTGGGGACTTGAACTCCTGAACTTGGAAGAAGCAACCGGGATTCTGCAAAAGAAGGAAATATCAGGGTTTCATTTAAACCTGAAAAATTTCGAAGAGTAGTTAGATAAGTTATCAACGGTCTAGGAATTTTAGATCTTCCTACGACTTCAATCAAATGAAGAGTAACACTTGCATTATTTCTAAGGTTTTTGTTGGTTACTTTCCATTTGCAGATAGTTGCACTGAGAACTGACAATGATGCCACCGCAGTGTGCAAGCCTGCAAAGACTTTGATTAATAATGATAGATAAGTTCCCATCCAATTTTGAATAAAATGTATGGAGTCATCAGTCCCAAAATCGTTACTTTTCATTATTTTCAAATAAAAACTTGGCAGAAATGTACCAAGTGGCAAAAAATGCTGAATGGTGGAACTTTACTCTGATCAAAGATGAATGTTGCATGGTGAGTGTGACCAACCGTTATCAAATGGTCTATTTTGATTGGAATTTGTTCTGATAGGCCTTTGATCAACAGCTACGCAAGTAGAGTTGGGCTGGAGGAAAAATGTTGGGTAGAGAGGGGCCTAGAGTTGGGTTGGATATCAGAAATCTGGCTCCAATTGAATGTAATATTCATAGGTATCCAAATCAGAATTTGCTGAAGGGCCTGAGTTAATTTTTCTATTTCATTCCAGTTTCTTACTTCTCTGTGCTTTACAAGTGGCTTGTGTATTTCATGGTAAATTTTTGTCTCTGTTTCAGGGTCATGGACTCGATTGAAGAATGTGCTGGATGTAGTGATATCGCCATCAAGCATGCTAGCATTTCGTGTATTTTAGCCTTGTTGAATGCCTTGCAAGAGTTATCTCTAGGGAGAAACTTAAACGATCAATATGTGGATAAGATCAACTCAATGTTTCCTAAGATGAAAGACTGTGATTATCAAGGTAATGTATCGTTTTTGCCATTAAGACCGTTGATGGGATATGTTATCTATTCCAAATGTTATGAATGTTTTGTGAACAAATTTAAAAAAAAAGAAAAAAAACCTTCACATAGTGCACAGCACATTCTTGTGATGGCAGTGCGATTCATAGTGTCACATCCGTGTGATTCATAGTGATTAGCATTTTTTGTATTAGTGCTGAGAGGTTTCAACTGTCCCATATTCCGAAAACCAAAATCAATGAAAGTCTAATTAGCAAATTGAGAACCAACTTATCATTTAGCTAGCCGTCAGACTTCTGGAAAATAAATTTTGCCTCTAATGCATCACAGTTATTGGTTTACGTAGACCCTACACAAAGAAAAAATTATTTCTTAGCATAACTAAATTAAATAGACGAGTGTGAAATTGCTTCCCTGTGGACATTGGTGTCATTGGTGAGAAGGAAGTTAAAATCAACCTGAAGGAAAACTTTGATTTCTCATGTACGAAGTTGGAAATTTTTACCGTCCACCATGTTCCTGATGAAGTTTAAACAGCAAGATTATAAATTGCTGATGTTGACGAACTTTGAATTTCTCCAACTGTCATATGAATTTAAATTTACATTTCGCCAAGTTTTGATTCTGATTCGTTTTACTCTTGTAGGTCCTCTTACTTATGAATTGATGTCTCGTTTACCGCGAGACTACAGAGAAGTCATGGAGAAAGAGCGAGGTAAAACGGAGATTGAAGATGGGTCAGAAAGTGGTGGCAGTAGCAGTGGTATCTTGAGCAGCGGGGAAACAGAAGGGCCGGAGGAAGGCCTTCAGCTGGATGACTCCGATGTGAGTATCATTTGGACCGTTCAAATTGGAGATATTCTTGCATTACTCAGCATAATTAATTTTTGGTTACTTAAGATACATTAAAAACATTATTTTGAACCTCATATCCAAATTATAGCATCAAAAGAAAATCTTTAATTTTGTTGTCAATAGTTCAAGAGGCTATACTTTTATATTAAAGCTAATCATTTAAAAAGATTTTTGATAAGGAGAATAGAAACGATTTCCTTCTGCTTGTTTCATATCGCTCAATATCTACAGGATGTAATTCAAAGGGCCAAGTTCTGAATTTGTGGAATTCCCTAAATTATATATTATAAAAAGTGTTCTGATGGATTTTAGGTGGCAAATTGCTTGTAAAATTAATTTTGGTTGCTCCCAAATTTACTGAACAATTTGCCTGATTTTTGCAGCTAGAAGAAATGGTGGCTGAAGCGGAGAAAAGAAAAACCGAAGCGGATCTTAGACTCAATAAAATTGAAAAATCCCTGAAAGATATGGACTCAGAAATGAAAGTAAGAATTTTTATCACTTTTTTTTTTCTTACTTTTTTTCCTGTTTCAATTTAATACTTATTTACACATCAGGTCAAAATTTTGGCCCACTCAATGGTATAATTTAGTACTTACACTTTTGTTTGCAGTTAACCCATTCGCCTCACATGATGAGTTTACTCATCAGCGGGCGCCTAGGACATCATCTCAGCTGACAAGTTAATTCGTGCCATTTTCGGCATTCCGACGCTTGAGATGCCATTTATCGGAAAATTGAAAAACCACTGGCAAAAAAATCGCATAGCAACGCCGATAGATGCCGCAAATTAACTCGTCAACTGAGGCGAATGGGTTAATCAAATTTTTAGAGTTGATAAATATTTTTCATTTCACATATAAATGTTGATTAATGATAAGTTATTTAGGTACCGGAAACTTGATAGCTCATTACATTTATTTCCTGTTAATCATCTTAGATACATTTTCCCATTTTCTCCTTTGCCAAGCATTTTTGGCTCTTTCAAAATTGTTTGTTTGCCGGAATCAACAATGGCACTTTCGTAATCTCACCCAGTACTTAACTAACTTTAAGATTCTCCAGTAAACTGTGCTTCCTTAATTAGGATTTTAATTCTTGGTTTCCAGATAATCACCGAAAGTGCCGATATGGAACGGCAAAATGCTCATAATTTTAAATCTGCCTTAATCTCATTTTTGCCGACATTGTTAAATTTGCGTAGCATTTTACAAGTTGATGAAGCATTGCAAGAATTTTCGTCCAAATATTGTGAAGGTAATTTTTGTTTACTACTACAAGATTTCCGATGACAAAAACTATGGCAACTAAACCATGAACATATTGCTTTATTAAGAAGTGGTTTCTAGTCGTCTTATGAAGAAGTTGTAAATTAATTTATTTTGGCCGAAGTCAAAAAGTTTTAAAAACTTATAGTTAGACCTACTGCTCATCCATTAAAGCCTCAAATATATGTAGATAGCATTCTCAGTATGTTCTGTGTAATAACATCAAAACAATGCCGTTTGAATGCCTTTTTTACTCTCTATATGTAATTTCTTAAGTACAAACATGGTAATATTATGAAGAAATGAGGATCTACAAAATTGTTTAAATAAAGTATGTTAAATATCTTGTTTATTAAGGGAAGGAACGTGTGTTAAAAAATGAAAATTCTAGTTTTAGAAATAGAGTAGAGAAGTCCTCAGTAACAAACTACTCTTGAAATGACAAAAGTGATAATTATTGTTGGTTAGACAATTGGCTCTTATCAGTCTATTTGTGTGATTTTACAGATTTATTTACTAAAGACAAAGGGACCATTGTGAACGCTGATGGGATCTATCTGGCATCTCACTTAGCCTTACTTTTGAACTTTCGTTTGATTCAATCGGACTATTATCAAAACCCAAGCAAGGAAATCCCATACTCAGAGGTATGTTTTTGTCACTGTACATTTTGTTTGGCTTCATGAATATCTTTTCATTTTTCCTTCCTTTTTCAGCGGGTTTTCCTCCCCCTTATCATGGCAATGGGTGCATGGGGTCTAGTCTTTTGTGCAGTCAAAGCTCTATGTTATCAATCAAACTAAAATTCATGGTTTTGCCCAGTGCAAGGGATATTTCATGAACTAATTTGTCACTAAAACAAAGTGGGATTATCATGTTTGAACCTCTAATCTTATGAATTCCATATTTTTAATTTTTTTTTTGGATCACTTAGAAGATTTTCCCTAAGTTGTGCTCTTTCCCAAGTATTTGTGGATTCCTGTTTATTTATTCTTGAAGCTTTAAACTGGAATGGATTGAGGTATTGGTTGCTCATTTCTCATGCCTTTTCATCACAAAGGCTCAATTAGAACTAACCTAAAAAACAGTTATAGAAACATTCAGGGAGCTGTGGAGACATATGTATACAATTATTTTCTTAAAGAATGTAAGTAGTAGTGTATATCCTGCAAAAGTAATATATTCATTTATTCATGCCTTACATAGGTATATCTGCATACCGGCAACTAAAAAAAGCCTAGGGCATCCAAGTTTCGTCAGCAGTGAATGGGGTTGTTGCATGGGTGAAGGATTTGAGAATAAAAAATATGTAAGCATAGAATTTTTAGCGATAAAAACGATGGTAACGTTCAAAATTCAAAAATCAAGTCCTTAAGCCCGAAAAAGCCCGTCAAAGTTCCATCAAATTCAAGTTGAAAATAAACGATTTTCATTGGCCGCAGTACAGTTGGTCAAACGATGCGGGAGTCTCTCCTCGCCGCCATTACCCACATCTGTATAAACAAACTATGTTTTTAGATAGTTTAAATAAAGGATTCAGTAAATGCGTTTTTTGTCAAAACTCATAATTCACTAGTTGCCCTTTCACAGAAAAATTACTCAAATGTGCAAGTGGTTTTGTGCCTTTAATTCATGATGGCCATTTGTCCCCTGTGACTTCCTTAACTTGGTCCTCATCTTACTTCATGAGAATTCATTTGCATGGCCTGTAACTTAATACTCCTTTAACAATTATGCAGGCGGATTTTGTGGAGGGGGTGCAAGGCAGTGGTGTCCTAGTTTACTTGTCGGCTGCGTGGCTTTCTGAGTTGTATCAGATCACTCTATCGAACAATTTTCTTTCTCTTGCCGGCTACTGCTCCTCCAACTCTGATAACCTTGCTCTCATTAACTTACTAACAGGTTATTCTCGCATGATAAATACCGGTTGTTTTGAATTTATGTCTTCAACGTTGTGTTTTCCTTGTATTTTTTACAATCGCCTTATATTACCTCTCACCCATCCTCTTTTACTCAGTTTTATAAATTTTTTACAAAGTTTGCAAAGGATGAGTAGAAGGACCGAACTTTCTGTTTCAGTGCTTCATCAAAAAGTCACTTTCTTGTTCATCCCAGTTAACTTCAGCATGCATGGAATGTTTAATTACTCGCTGTTATTTTATTCGTGTGGAAAGAATGAAGTGCTCATCATTAAATCATTTTTTCAATCATTTTTGGTAGCTTAAAACCTTCCATAAATTTTAAAATGCTTTTCTGTGTGGTTATTACCTTTTGAAGTAAAACAATGCTAATTTCTGTGCTGGCCAACCTCCCATTGTTCTGAAATTATCTTCCAGTGTATGGTGTTTTTTTTTTTTTTTTTTTTGGTTGTTTTACACCCCCCGTGCTCAGTGTTTTTAAGCACCAAGTAGAAAATAGGCTCAACTCCAATTTTTGTGCTGGCAGATCAGTGGGATATCAAGTGAAGTAGCTTACACTTGTCTCACCTGTAGCCATTGGTAGCCACAAAATTGGAAGTTTACATTTTGCATGCATACATTTATCACTGAGTAGCAGCTTGGTTTTTCTTTGGATGAATGAAATGCAAAAAAGCCCCTCTCCCCCACCATGGATACCTTTCATTCATAAACTATATTTCATTTATTAACTATAACCGAAACCATTGATCTCCTTCAAAAACGTTTCCCTCATGAAAGTAAGCCTATATCTTGCACCCACTGTGGACCCAGCGATATTTCCAAATTTAGCACACAGTTTCTTTCACTGTACTTTCACTCACTTCTACATACCTGCTTTCCCTTTCATTTTTTAGTCAATCCTTTCATTAGTTTTTTTTAATTTATTTATTATTATGGGCCTCTTTGTACATTAGTGCTCCATTTCTTTGCTATGTATAAAGTCTTTTATCTCAATGTTTTTGCTCCGATGATTAATCGGCACATTACTATCATGCATGTTAATTATTTGGATTATTCTCTGATATAACTGGTAAAATCAAAAGTTAAATCATTAGATGCAGACCTTGAGTAAACTCAGTCTAGTCAGTTCAGGTTACCATTTTTAGATTAGTTGAAGATGGTGAAACAGGAGAGAGGGATTATGTGAAAACAAATCAGCAGAATTGGCTTGTGTAAAAGAAGCCTAGGCATGAAGGCAGAATCAATGATTAAAACAAATTTTTCCTGTATTCAATTCACGAAGAACCTCTTATTCTATGTTAAAAATCGAATAAGAAAACACCCTCAATTCAATATGTTTTCATGGTATTATTGGTTTTTTTTTTTTTTATTTTCAAGAATGTTAAATTGTATCTTTTTCTTTCTCTCAGATTTGGAAAGTATACCAAACAATGGTCAAGCCAATTCACAGTACCTTGTTGACTGCCAACGCTTAGAAAAGGCTGCACTGAGACCAGAAATAAGCCCTGAAACAGAGGCCGGTAAGTAAAAAATCAGCTTTCCCCTTACTTATCCTCTTTAAAAAATCCTAGATCAGTCCTGATAAGTTGATTCATGGATTTCAAGGATGATGTTTTATTGTGATAAATCTCACAGTGCACAATGTAGTCAGTTTCACCATTGACATCTTTTTGTGTAACAGAGTGAGATTTTTGCAATGTTTTGACACTTTAGAGTGTGTATATTTTTAGTTTCACTATCAGTATTGTGGTATTTTTGAAAATGTGTTAAAATATTGAATATTTTTTTTAAAGGATCTTTCCATAATATTTTTTACTTTCTTTCAGGTATTAAGCTAAGCAGGCGTATCTTAACTTGCGTCTGGGACTCTATGCTGGTGGTTCTCGGTGTTCCGCTGCAAGAAAGTTCAGCACTTAAAAAGAAGTCACATCGACTTTTAATATTAGGAAATGAGGCAGTCAAAAGAGCTCTTGCGAAAGAAGCCGTTGTCATGAGCCTGGAAGCATTACAGAAAGCAGCTTCTTTAACAACTGTCTCAGGTAAACATTAAATTAATTCAGTTAAGGGTAACCTATAGGAAGTCTACTCGCATTATGATTTTGTAATGTAGACTGTGAAACGTTTGGCTCAAATTATTTTGACGCAATGACACTTGGAGATGCGAGGGCACTAGTGTCCTCTTGAAGACCAAATTGATTATTTTAAAGTGTCGCATTCAGTTTTAACATCAACTCATTGCCATGTCTTTTGTTCAGTTATTCATCTGTAGCCCTAATCTGATGTTAAAATAACATTAAAATGGAGTAAGGGTTGGAAAAGGAAGGTGCTCTAGCTATAAGCCCAAAAATTATTTTGATAACTTCATGCAACAAGCAAAACCATCTCTTGGTAGTCTGTTGTAGGTAGTCCAAAATATATGTAATCATATAAAGGCTCCAAACTGATTAGAACTGAGGAAAAACAAATGTTGTTCCTGATTAGCGTTGGCTTTTCTGTGGTTATGTTGTATGTTGCGGACGCAACAATATTTCTGTCAAACTAGAGCCATGAGGTAAAACTCTATACTTTAATAGATTCTATTAAGTGCTCATAAAATTTTTGCCCAGCTGAAAGAAATAGTCTCCTCACTGTTTTTTACATTTTAAATCTAACAAATGCTATCGCAAATGCAAATACCCGGCGGAAGAGATGATATTATAACTCTCATCTCATACAATTTCTGTGCAAAATGTTGGAAGAGAAGCACTTTAAAAAACGCTCCAATTTTTAGAAAATGCCCTTGGATCCACTCAGCATATTTTTCCTGAAGCCTTCATTTTACTGGCGATCTTATTGTGAAAGGGTTTCTTCAACACTGTTGCTGTATCACTAATTAATTACATTTTTTGATGCTTTTTTTTGCCAGGCTTACAAAGTAGATGCGGTGGAGTCTTTGCATTATTAGCCTCTGCAACGACTCCCTCTTCCGCAGGCCCTTTGGTTAGCGCGCAACCACTATCTACCTTAACCGCCCCTCATGCCTTGTCTTTGGAGGTGATTCTCTCCAGAGGATTGGAACTAGGTAGTCATGCACAAGAATGTTGGACGCATGTTTTCAGGTATGTTTTAAGATGCTTCTTTGATTAAGTTATTTAGTATCTCATAAAGCAGTGCCTGGAGTACTTGATAAGGGGAGTGTGACCATTTGTATTTTGATATATTTTTCCAGGCTGCCATGGTGTGCCTGTTACTGACTGTAAATATAGAGCACAGCAACTGTTTTAAGTTTTAGAGAGCACTTTTTTGTTCTTCAGAAGACTCGACAGCATTGTTTGGTTTTTAAATAAAATGTTGGGCAGTGTCAATCAGCCAAAATCTAGAATTAGTGACCTGAAAGACAAGGCGAATATTTGCACCGGTCATAAATAACATTATGTTGTGACCTCACTCAAATTGTATTTATACTGAATCGATGCAAAACATTGCTTCAAGATATGGAAACTTGTTTTTGCTGAAAATCAGCATAACTTTGCAGATTAGTGAATTATTGTGCTATTTGGACTTGTATTTGCTATACAAGATTCCCTCACTCCTCAAGAATAACAGTCCAAGTTGAATGTGCGCAACATTGTAGCTGGAAATCAGCGTTATCTCCCTTGCCAATAGGGCATTGTGCATCTTGTCTTTGAATTTTAATTTAGAAAAAAATTTCTTATATTGATCCTTAATGCGAAGAATTGGAATGCTACATCTAAAGTGTTCTCCTCAACATTGTTAAATGGTAAATCCATACCTCTTTATCTAAACTATTTCCTTTGTTTTCAGTTGTTGTTTGTATGTCGGGCAGCTGGAACATCAGTTTTTTAGTCAAAATCAAAAATCGAGTGTGCCTACAAGCATCAATTCAGTCAAAGTTGACAAAGTTTCTACCACTGATCGTTTAAATCTTAGTTTTAATCCTGTGGAAAATGAGGATGATGAATGGTAAGTATGTTTACCCCATAATGCTCTCTTTAAGGCTTGAGAATATTTTAGTTCGAACTATGTCCACTGTAAGATGGCAGTCATATCAAACTTTAACAATTTTACGGTTTATTTTCAACCCCATAGCCATCAGTTTTTCCAAGAATATTAGTGTGATTTCATGATCGAAGGCGTCTCTGTCTTTAAATTTAAGTGAGGGTAACTCTTCCTAAAATCCCCCTTTTTTACATGACTTTTACTGTAAGTAGCTAATGACCTTATAGCAGAAGGTAGAAGTACTGGAAGTCTCTCTAGAAGAGGTTTGACTTATCTGAACAGCTTAATCTTGGAAAGTGCTGTGTAAATAATACTTCCCAGTACTCATGTTTTTACCAGACTCGTGATTTAGGTTGGTTTAAGAGTTCATGAAAAATTCTGGATTCATTTTGCACTCTAAAACTATTAACAATTCTTTAAAAGAGGATATTTTGCTAAATATTAATTCTAAATTCACGTAACTTTTTTTCTTTTTTTCATCATTTTGATTAGCATGGACGTGTATAGCTTTCTCGCATCACCATCCTCTCCCACGGGCCCTGTTCCTAAGTCAATTGCAGATTTAATTTCCAAGAATCGACTGGATGGGCAAGGCAGTAGTTTGCTCAACAGCGAAACTTCGGCAGAAGTCATTTGCATACTTTCTCAACATGTTGACCGGTTAGTATGTTTCTTGGCCAACTTTTCTTTATTTCATTTCAAGCAAACGCATATCAAGGATTTGAAAAATTTTCTTGTCCCCTCTCTCAGTTTTCAAAGCCCTCCCTATTTGTAAGCTGTAAAGAATTTTTGTTGTTGTTGTAACTTAAATGGATAAGTAAGTAACACTGATTTTTTCGATTTATGATTTCAGACTATTTGAAGAAGTTGCTCTGAAGCTTAATCTCTCATCCCTCAAAAAGTTCATGAACGAGCTATGCTCTGCATCAAAGAAACAATTATTTACCAACTCCACTGCAAAATCTACTAATCAAGGAAAACGGTGGTGGTGGATACCTTCCAGTAGATCAACTTCTTACTCTCCACTACTCCTATCCAGAGCTTCTCAAGTGACGCTTAGGTGTATTCGTAGTGGGCGGCCTTTAATACATATCATGAACATATGGTCCATAGTCGGCCCCCATTTTATGGAGGTAAATTCTTTTCTCTTACCTATTCCTAAACTAGCATGCATACTTAATCAGGTGTTCCACGACGTCAACATTATGTATTTATGTGAGCTATTTTATGTCATTTTTTCGTTGAATTATTTTAGGAGGTTTAAAAGACGAAATTATCAACCAAAAATGAAAGTTTAAATTCTTCCTCTCAAATATTTTCCTGGATACATTTTGCTGGTTTTAGGGCGTCAAAGGGCAGAAAGTTGCGGCTGAAGTGACAAAATTTCATAATTTTTAAATGGAGCAAATTCAGAAAAAAAGGGTTGAGTGCATTGATATGCTGTAAATGTTTTGCTACCAATCCGTGCTTGATTCAGGTGAGCATCGGCAAAATAGCTGTCTTTGCAATTGACTAAAATAGAAAGTTCGACTCATCATAATTTTTTTCTTCTTTTTTTTCAGGCTGCTTGTCATAAAGATAATAGTATCTCAAAGTTGGCTGTTTCCTCCATGCATGACATAATAACGGCCTTACTCAATGAAAATGTTGAGCTTCCTCATTTCCATTTTAATGAGTCTCTTTTCAAACCATATGAAAACCTGCTGTGTTTAGAGCTTTGTGATGTTGATGTACAAGATCAGGTATGTGTTGAAACCCTTTCGTCTATATCTCTAACAGATCAACTGCTGGTGTCTCAGAATTTTGTTTTGCTGTTGGGTCTCCAAGATCAGCATAACAAAGTTTACTAAAGTTTTTATGTCAAATACTAACGGAGAAAAGATCTGTTGGAAAAAATAGTAGAAAATGGCATTCTCACTAGTTTATACTAGGGGGCTACGCCCCCTGGCGGCTACACGGCCCAACCCCCTGAAGGCGCTCCGCGCCATCAATGGGCCGCTTCGCAGCCCTATTTTTACCCTCCTAGCAGTGTTAGTTTTATTTTTCCCCTAAAAAATTACGATATGAGGTATACTTTAATTTTCAACTTTACTTAAAATTACTTTAAAATTAAAAGGACGCGTTTTGGAATGACTGCTTGATGAAATATTGCAGTAAAACAATGAATAATGATAGTGAGGTAATAAATAGGCCTTCATGAGTCGGGGATCGAACCTACACCGAGTTTATAGTGGACGCATACGATGTCTTGGACGACTCGGCCACCGCTCGACATGTGATTGCCGGCGCAAATCTTGTGTAGATAAGTGTAGAGCTGATGCGCAGGCTACACAGCTACTGCGCAACCTCCTCAACCACTGCGCATCCTCCCGCGCATAGCGGTAGCAGTATCGGAGCATTTTGTAAACTCACTCACTTTTACAACGTGATTTTAAAAAAACCTGGGTCCTTTTTCCAAAATCTGATTACAGCGGGCTCATCTAGGGCCTATTACCTGTCGATTTACGCAAAAATCATGGAAATCGGCCCGGTAGAACGCTCAAACGAACTATGACAAGAAGTATAAATTTACATTGTTTAAATGGGAGAATTCGCAACTTTACCACGTAATATAAAAAAACCTGGGCCATATTTTGAAAATCTGAAAGGAGTTGGCTTATCTAGAGACAATTGCCCGTCGATAGCTGCAAAAATCATGAAAATCAGCCCGGTAGAACGCTGGAACTAAGCGTTACCAGTTTCGCAAAATTAGGAGGTCTTGGAGCTTATAGTATAGATTGTAACTTTGACCATCTTACTTCCATCAAAACATGAATTAGAAAAAAAATACATACATAAATCAAAATTGCAATTTTTTCCTTGCTTGCATCACTGATAATACCAAAGTGAGCATGTTACGTATTAGTTTTGTGGGCTAAAATGTCCATACTGTTTTTCCAAGAGAGATATCTCTGTTGTCAGTGGCTATAAAGGTTCCAAGCTCTGCCAAATCTCCTTCATCAGAAATTCCATGGAGAATGATAGAAGTAGGTAGCCATTTCCGTTCAGTTAAAAGTGTGACTTGCTCCGATACAATATGGTGTCAATATTCCTGGAAAATCAGAAATATAAATTATTGAAAATGGAACGTAATATCCGTTGTACTAGTTTAATTATATGTAAAATATCATGTCAAACACTTCTTCAGAGTAACTTTTTTTTCCATAAACCATACTATTTGCGAAAATTTATGACTAAGATGTGTTTTCTCTTTTCAGATTGTTAGTTGTTTGAGTGAGTGTGTTGAAGCCAATAGAGGTGAAATTCGATCAGGTTGGAGGCCTCTATTTGGTGCTTTGCGAGGAGCCTACAGCTCTCCTCTAGATATTTTTGCTGTCTTCCTAAACTCCGATAACTCCTTAGTTTTTGCAAATGCCGCAGTAGACTGCATTTTGTGTCTTCTGAAACATGTTCGGGGGAATGGTACGTTTCATCGTAAGTCTTCAAGTTTTTGTTTCACTATCACTTGGGTAAATTGAACTCTCTGCTCCTTTTTGAGTTTTTATTCAAGTTGCCCTTTTTTAAGTTTTGCATTAAATGAAACTTCGTTTGAGTGCAACTTTCAGACAAGTGCCATACTTTTTAACAAATGGAAGTGTTTTGATAATGTCTAGCATGGTTACATACTGAATTTAAAATAAGTACGGTGCTGTTCGATTGAAATTTCTCTGTTTTCTCTCTTTTTTTTTTTAGTACATAGTAGAATTACGAGGGATATCCCCATCAGATGTAGTAATGAATGAAAGACTCTGTTCTTCTCTTGCATTTCAGATAAAAATATTCTTGTCAGGTTTTTAATGTGTAAGGTTTTTTCTCTCAAGACTTTCATCTTTTTGGACATTTAGTCAAACTGAGTAAATTTCTGAACAACTGGATTATACCAGCAACGAAAACTGAAAACACCCTGGTAACTGTAAGTGTAAGATTGAGGGGAAAACGCATCGTTAAACCATGTGCAATCGCCTTTAATCAATTTAACTTAAAAATTGAGCGTAGTAAAAGCTGACACATTTCAAGGTGCCTCTTCCCTTCTCAAAGAAATCTGCATCAAAATCTAATCTGAAAGAAAGGACAGGCACAGCTCTGAAACACAACAGCTTTTCATTTTTTCATTTTGTGAGTTCAGGCTTTTAGTTTCTATTTCACGTCGTTATATGTTTCATTCTTGCCTCAACTAGACTCGACATTTCGATTGAGTTGAATGATAATTCCTCAGATTCTTGAAGGTGATGGAGATTTTAAGAATAGGCTTTAGAAAATGTCAGCCATGGATAATAATTGTGTTTTATTTTATTCTTTTCTTGCAGATAACAATACAAAAGAATCAGAAAAAATGTGTGATGATGCCTTAGATTACATTTCATTTTGTTCTGCAATGTTGTCTTCTCTGTACAAGATGCCAGCTTGCCCAGTCTTCCATTCATCTCATAGGTATGTAATTTCACTCATTTAAACTTCTGTTTTTAATTTTTCTTATCAGAAAAACCTCAAATACGTTGATCTTCTTTTCTCTTTTAGAATTTTTCTGTTTTCCAGTCCAGCCTTATCACAAGCTTATTTCTCTTTTTGTTCCAGAATTCAATTTTGTACCAAACTCATCGATCCTATTGTACCTGATAAAGAATTAATAAAATTTGATGTGGATGAGAAGAGCAGTGATACCTTAGAAATATCTTACAGTTGTTTGTCTTTGAATCACATCTGTGATATATCAGCTGTAGAAAAACCTAGTGGAATACTCAAAGTCTGGTCTCTTATGATAGAGGGGCTTGCAGCAAACGTGGCGACATGTCCCCCCAGTTGTCAACCTAAGACTTTAGATGTCCTGTTTCTTCTTTTAAGGCAGTTTATCACAGTTCCTGGTAAGTCAGTTATTTTGCCATTAATTTTATTTTAAGGAATAGATAATGATAAGAGCGAGAGACACAATAGCCCGAATGCAGACAACAATAAAAACACACTAAAATAGATAATACTCGGTAATACTTGAGAAATATTTGATTTTACCTTTTTTTGGTGCTTCTAAAGTACTCAAATTCTTTGAAATCAAGAAAAGTTCCTTTAAAGTATTGCACTGGAGTAAGGCTCAATTTTTAATTTTTATTGCCTAATTTTTTTACATTTTTACTAGAAGGCAATTAAATGCACTTATGTTTTAGAATTTTGTTTTAAGCGTTTGTGAACTATCTACTTATAGGGATCTGGTATGCCCTATTGCATCTAGTGTAGTATTTTTCTGAATTTTCTTACATTTTTATTTTAGGAAAGCTGTTTGGGTTATACTGTCTGAATCATCTATTGTTACCTGCAATTCAAGACTGGCTTCGTAAACTTGATCTTTCAGAAGCTCCTTGTTTTAAACAGTATTGTGGCCTAACAACAGATATGACTGTTGAATATCTAACTCCTTTAGCTGGTAAGTGTCGAATCTGAACCAATTTTTCCTCAAAAAGCTTTACTTGGTGCGTAACTATTTTTCATCTATTTTAAAATTTCTAAATGAATTCATGGTGATTTAAGGACAGTGGACAAAAGGTAGGGTAATGTCAGCATTTTTTTTAGACGTATCATAAATATGGAGGGTCAAAGTGAAATTAAAAAGCCAACAAGAAAGGCTAGTCTTGATTTATCAAGGATAAAAAATCAACATCAGTTGTGTACAGTATCCATCTTTTTTGGCCTTTATTCTTCAAACATGCCTATAAAAATGCTTCACAACTCAATAATTTAAGCCGTACTAAAATATAAATGCCATCAAGTGTGAAATTCAAAGATTTAATATTTTGCAAGAACGATCTTCTGGTATGCTTCTGTATCATCGCCTTTTTTTGAAAAATGGAGGTAGCTGTGCTGAGGGCCATCAGAGCATGGGTGCAGGATATCTAACCTGCTCAAGCCTCAGAAAAAAACTAGTTTGGTTCCTAACAAGTCCCAGATGACGCTCCCAAATGAAAATTTATGTGTCCGAATAACTGTACATTTAGAATTATTATCTTCATTTTTTAAATCTCACAAACAATATCTTTGAAAATAGAAAGTGCCTCAGTCTTTAAATTCCATGCCATCCCCCTTCAATTTCCTGTAAGTTTTCAATGGTAGTTAGATTTCTCTCTACTATTCTGGGTGGTAATTTTTCTCTTACGTTATTAAAAAATACCTCATTATTCTATTTTTTCCCTTCTGATAGGATCGTTAATCTTTCTTACATCAATTATTATATTTTATTATTTCCTATGTTTCTTCTTTAGGTTCAGAAGAACATATTCCTGAAAACTCATTACTTCTCAAGCAGTTGATTCTAGTCATGATAGAGTGCATTGCATCTCCAGTAGAGCCAATTGCTCGACTTGGGTGTGCTTGTCTCAGGTATGTGTGCCTACATTTGGATTTTATGGTGGAGGAAGTTCAGAATTAGTGTCAGAAAATGATCTCTTCTCTTCTCACCCCGTTAAATTTTACAAGCAAGTACCTCAAAGAACCAATACTAATTTTAGGCAAGGGGCTGTTCGTTAAATATGTAATGCTAAATCTCGGATTTTTCAACCCCCTCCCCCCTCCTCTCTGTCATGTTCTTGTGAAGTAAATCTCTATCCTTTACCATGTAAAAACAAAATGGAGTAATGCTCTCCCCCCCTAAGAATTGCCCCATTGGTCTTGGCATTTACAGGACGATATTTCAGCCCTGCATGTTGTGACACACATAATTACGAGTCCCAGCTGAAAAGAAAATCCTCCAAGCTCATAACTCATCATTTAAGATTTTGGCAAAAACTACAAAATCGTCTAAAAGAAGATGTAATTACCTTCCTGTATTGGATTGAAAATTGATAAATTTTTGACACTAAAGTGTCGCCAAACTTCTGACGTGTTCTCTTTGAAATGTTGAAGGAGTGTATTGCGATGGACAGAAAAGGCTGTCATACCTCACAGGTGCAGCTGATACTGAAATACCTGAAAATACCAATTTAGGCAATTATTACGAGAGATTGCCACTGTTAAAATACAGTGTTCGAAGAATCCAACCAGCACGCATAAAGTTATTGTTACAACATGATGATGCCTGATCCCGTTGCAGCCGTCAAACTTCTTTCAACCCGGAATGGTTGGATTCAGAGACCATTCCTCATCCTCTGTACAGTCCTGACTTGGCACTGTGTAATTTTTAGGTCATTCCGAACCTGAAAAAGAGACCTTGAAGGCACTCAATTCTTATGAGACGCTGAAGTCAAAGCTGCAGTTGCAAATCAGATTCAAAATCAACCCCATTGATTTTTTTTCAACAAGATTTTAGCAATTTGTTGGACGCTGACAGAAATGGGTTGAAGTTAACAGAGAGTACATGGAAAAATAACAGTAAATTTTGTTTGGCACTCAATGATGCTCTTGAATATGGTGTACTATTTTTTCATACTTTGTTTGTTTGGTTTTTCTTAAATTCGTCCAATTTTAAAGAGGCAGCATTATAACTTGCCATCCATTTCTAGGTGGCGGTAGCCACTCTGGCCCAATGCCCAAAAACTCCCCCTATAAAGTTGACGACTTGGTGGCTGCTGCCTAACTAGATAAACACGGAGAAACTCAATCGGGCTTGTCTGCACGGTTTGCGGTCCGTTTAGCTCTCCTGCTAATTAAGTCTTAGAGTGAACCCCCAAAACCCTATAGTATTTGGGTAGAATATGTTCAGCTCTACTCGTAATGTCCTCGTTTTTTAAAGTTACAATTTTCCCTCGACATTTAGGAGAGAACATGTCAGAAGTTTTGCTGGTGATGCTGTAATAATAAAAATTGTTCAATTTTGCAGACTGATAGACCATCAGATAGGTTATTACGACTATTTTCAGAATATTTTAAGTTTTTGCCAACCTCTTTAGTTGCTCTCAAGTTATGAGCTTGGAGCAGTTACTTTTCAGCCGGGCCCTTGTACCTTGAAATGAAAATTTTACCAGTTGCGGCTGCCCCTATTTTGTTTAGAAGAGAAGATTTCAGGCATGACATTAATCTTCTTTGATTCAAATGTAGTGTTTTTGCTATTAATTTTTTATTTTTTGATCAGTTTTCTCTCTTCATGTTGCATAAATTTTATCAGCCTTTTTTCAAATAATTTTTCCTCTCCTTATGTTTCAAATTCAAGTCATTATTTTTCATGTTACTTTTCTCTTCCGTAAGCTTTATCTTGTCTAGATACGCCACCATAGAAGAGATCTAAACATTTCATACAGCTTTTTTTATCATGAGATGCTAATTTCCGTTTCTGCCCGAGTTTTTCTCTCTTCCTCACCCCTCTCCCAAACCCCCTGTTCCTTCCAGATTTCATTAGGATAATTTTGGTCGCTCCCAGCTGATCACATCATCGCGGAATACTTTAATTACGTCAGGGAGGAACCTGTTAATGACGTCATTGGGGCATCCGTTGTTGACTTCACAGACACCTGTTGATGACATACCGAGGCACCCGTGAATTTTTAGATAACCAAGTGAATTTAAGGAAAAGTCAAGATATTTTGCAATCCAACTGAACTTTAACTCTCTATTTTTAACCCTTGCCTCAACAATAGTGACAAAGTCGGTATCAACAGTTTTTAGATTAAAATAAACTCCCAGGCAGATCTCAATACTTCGAACAAAGGGATGGAGAGGGAGGCGATTTGGGGGGCTCCCTCGAGCTATTTCTCGAAATTTTAAAGCATCTAACATGCAGTTTGAGTCAATATCGTCATAAACAATTACCAAATATAAGCGTCTTTCTCTCTCTCTTCCCTCTTTTTTCTCCTTTTTTTTGGGCGAACGAGTACGCCCCCTATCCACCCCCACCTTCCCCCCGAATCCGCGTATGAGTGGACTGTCAGTGAGTCGACACCCGTGTATCTAGATTCCTCGAATCACGGAGTTGCGAATTCCCGGTTAATATAATTTTTCTCTGTAAAAATTTCCAATGGAGATGTTGCATGTGTGAGGAATTAGCGATTTGACTGTTGATTCTTATGTAAAAATTCGCGAGAAACACGATGGCCACTGGTTTTCTCTGAAATCAACTCCCAAGCTCATAAAAAGCTCTCAAGTTGAGGCCAAAATGGAGGGGACATCCCACCCTACCCTGAGAGTCCACGTCTATAGCAAGACAAACTCTCCATGCAAAGATAGGGAGCGAATCCATTGACAGGGCTGCCACTTCATTTGGGGGCTCCAAAACTGAAAACACGGCAACCCTGCTAATGTATTTGCTCCCTATCTTTGCATGGAGAGTTAGTCTTGATGTAGAGGTGAACTCTCAGGGTAGGGTGGGGTATTCCCTCCATTTTGGCCTCAACTTGAGAGCTTTTTTTGAGCTTGGGAGTTAATTTCAGAGAAAACCAGTGGCACCATCGTGTTTCTCGAACTTTTACATAAGAAACAACAGTCAAATCGCAAATTCCTCACACATGCAACATCTCCATTCCCGGTTAAATTAATTTTCTCAGTAAAAATTGCTAATTGTTTGTGTTTTCCTCTATCCTTCGTTAACTCTGTGGAAATTTCATTCAGTGTCGTTCAGTTTTTCTTTCTTTCCAAAAAAAAATAAATAAATAAATAAATAATGAAACATTTTTTACGAAACGCGAAGATTTTCAAACATTGAAAAAGTCTTTTTCGTCTTGGGCCATATACTGTAGAGCCGGATAAGACTTTGCAGCAGCCGCGCTCTGCACACCGCAGAAAAGCCCCGCTGCACATTGTAAGCGACTTAGACATTTCGGGCCGCAAGACGGATCACTTTAATGACACGACCTCATCAGCTCATAGCAAACCATCCGCGTTTTTAAGTAGATTTTTAACTTGAGCGCTCCTCTTTTACGAGCGGGGCTTTTAGTGTCGTATTTTAGTGCTCCGGCCGTAAATCAGCGTGCATAAATATCGAAGCCCGAGAGTCACGTCCTTTTGCCAGTTGCTCTAATTGAATGAAATTTGCAATCGACGCGACGCCGAGTCGTATACGGTTAAGTGAAAAATCTCACCGCAGCAGCGCTGCCGGACCGAGCGGAAAATTCGAAGACGCACGCGCGTCTCTTTTGGGGAAATTTTAGTTGAGGAGCTTTAACGGGATGTCCAGCATCAGAATTTTCCCGATTCCATCAGGATTTGAGGTCAATCACACTGGGAAAAAAACCACATTAAATCTTGAGTCCAGACTCTTAAAAACATCGACAAGAAAAAATACTCTTGATTCAATCGGATTTTGCTTAAATCAAGAACCAAGCCACTTAATTTGAGCGGATTTCCTGTTGATTTAAGCTGAAATCTGATTGAATCAGGAGTATATTTTCTTGTCAATGTTTTCAAGAGTCTGGACTCTCGATCCAATGCGGTTTTTTTTCCAGTGTGGTCGTGAAATCAGTATTTGAGAAAAGTCGGCCGTTTGATTGGGTTCATATGCTTTCGCCTATGCTTATGCGAAAATTTTAATTTTTTCCGCAAAATATCAGTATTTGATCTGGATTTGAAAAAAATTGTGGAATCAGGATTTTGCAGTGAAAAATCAGGATTTCCCAAGGAGACAAAAAACTAAACATCCTGTTCAAGGAGCCCTTAAAACTTTGGCTTTTTACTCGTTCGTTGCGTTGGTAGATCCATTTTCGTGTCATGGAGCCCACCGACAGACTCCTTTGGATAACAGGGCTCCTAGCGACCAGCGGGCTGATTATTGAAATCTATAGACAAAGCTTTAGACAATGAAGACTAAAGAGATATGGAGGGATCCTATTGGTGGAAGTGGGTGTTTGCGATGGACAAAAGAGGTACGCAATTGACTAACTAACGGCAACCCACGAGAGACCCTATAGTTCGTCCATCATTTTCTCCTTTAGTCTATAGAAACCATTCATTTTAACCGATAGGATCGCTCAATACTCTCTACGTCTTCTTTATCTATCAATTTCAACAGTCAGCCCGCAGGAAGACTTAGATAAAATAATTCAGCGAGAAACCCCCGGAGCAGGGTGTCTACTATTAATGAAATCCGGAAAATATGAGAAGAATCTGTCATTGATCTAGAAATTCTACGTGCTTCAACCATTTTTTAGTCAGTTCATTCAATTCATTAAATATGTGGATTTTTTAAATCAGACAAGAAATGTCAGCTTATCCCCGCAAAAAATCGGGATTTTTTTTATGAAGCAAGAAATATCAGGAAAATCCGATTTGAAATTTTGGCAGACGATCCGTACTAATTCAGGAATGTTAGTACTTTATAATTCCGCGCGGCGAAATTTTCAAGTATGGCTGCCGTCATGGTTTTAATTTTGAATCCTATCCTTTCTAACCCAAAGCGAACTTACGAAAATTTTTTGAAAAACACATGTGGTATTTAGTGTTCGGAAAAGACCACGAAT